TGGCTGGCTAAGCCATAACCTGGCTGTCAGGGTCCACTGCTCCTGCAAAAAAAGACAGACACATATATCTAAACTGTGCCGAGAGCCCCCTCCCCGTGCAGAGGCACAGGAGAGTCGCTTTGGGGAGGAATGTCAGAGTTCTGTGGCTCAAGTGTTCAGGCCACAGATCTCCAGGGTGGAAAGCAAAGGGGACCTGGATGGGGCTGGTGACGCAGGACGACTCCGCAGGCGAGGGGGCAATGGAGGATGGAAAGCCTCGAGCACGGCGTGGCAGCTGCGTTTGCAGCATCGAAGCCTCTCTGTGGCCTGAACCTGAGCGTGGGGTTATGCCCAGAGCTGTGTGGAACCTCGTCTCCCCCCAGGGAAGGGCAGAAAGTGGGGAAAGTTTTGCCATGGGGCCACCACAGACCACCTGTGCAGGTCGGTGACATCTGGGTGCCACCCAGAGAGCAGGTGGACTGATGCCATCCCCTACGTAGACATGGCCATGGTTAAGGAGGTGCCGTCTTCCATCCTGAAGCATCCCCTGGGATGCAGTGTGCTCCTTTGGGGTGGCTCCACTTGGTCTGGGAGATTTTAGGGAGGTTATCCCACTGGGAAAGCCAGCAGCGGGCGGATGCCAAATCCCCCCATGCCACCCCACGAGGCCTTGACCTGGCCATGGCATGCTGAGAGGTTTCCCTTTCTCCCGTGGCTTTGCTGGTCCTTCCTGCAGCAGAAGGCAAATCTGACCACCCAAAGCAAAAAGCAACCCCTGATTCCCAGTGGGGGAAAGCCCAAGACCCTTCGGCAAATCTCTGATGGGTTGAAAACAGTCATAATAGTAACAATCAGGTGCTAGAGCCCAATTAGTACTTTCCATTCACTTGAGCTCACTTTATGCTCCTCCAGGAGCTTGAAGAGGCCTTTAGAGTGAGGGTGATGCCAACTGGCCCCTTTCATTGATCCCATGGATTTAAGGTCAGGTGGAACCACCATGACGATACAAGCATCCCTCCTGCTGGGGTGCGGAGGGATAGGAGGACCAGGATGGGACAAATCTCTGACTGTGTCACAGCTGAGGCCAGGCTGAGCTTCCCACCAAGCTTTGGATGGCTCTGCTGCGTCCCTGTCCAGCTCCTGGGGCAAGAAGGACCTTGAACAGCATCCTTGGTAGGCTGCTCAAGCCAGGACATACCAGCACGTGTCAGAGAAGATGGCCTGAGGACACAGGGGAGGGCAAAGTGCTCGCGGCATTCCCTGGGGACATGTTTTGGGAAGCAGGCTCAAAGAAGGAGGGTGGAAGAGCTAAGCTGGGTGCAGTAGATCCCTGTGCTTTGAGGAGCAGAAGGTGGCCAGAGAACATCCATCCTCTGCCCCTCACACCAGGAAGACCCTGCTCTTGTGCCAAAGAAGGTGTCTGTGCCCTGTGAGATGGCTTCTCCAGAGGGTGCTGGGAAGCACTGAAGCCTGGAGATGAGTTTGCAATGGAGCTGGCACACCCCCAGGCACCGGTGACCTCCCAGACCACATCCCATAGCTACCCTGGAAAAGCCTCCTCACATCAAAGGACAACGTGGCCACAGAGCATAGAGCCAGTCTCAAAGTCCCCACCACAAGGTGGATCCTAAATGTCAACCCTTCTAAGCAGCTCCTACAACACATGCACATAACTTTGCAGTGAGTAATTTATACAAACCAGCATAAAACTCAGTACAAGAGCAGGTTCTGGAGCTAAAATACACTGGTCCAACCAGGCTAAACTGGTCTCCAGTGACTCCAAAAAACAAAAGGCCTGTTTTTCCCCAAACCAAGCAGATGTTGGGCAGTACGGGCTTTGAAAATTCAACTCCTCGTCCTCTGGATCATTCAGATCAAGCACAACAGGAGCACGTTATGTGGAAATTTCTCTCAAGCCCACTCAGAAAAGCATGTGGTAGACACCAGGCTTGGACATCCTAAGCTCTGGGATGTTGGAGAGATAGAAGATGGAAAAAATAATAAGCCGGGGGTTGTCTACCTTGCACAT